ACCTCCCGGAGCTGCCATGAACACCAGATAAGGTGACTCAGGTCCTGTGGGAACCCATGCCAGGCACAAGGCGTGCACGCTGCAAATGGAAGCCAAATCTTTTCAGTCTCAGGCACCTCCCTTGTGGACCCTTCCAGACTGAGTTGTCACAGGTCCTAGGGCCCCAGACACCTTGGCAAAGGCTCACTGGCACAGAGTTACTCAGACCCATTCAACCCCTTCAGATTACCAGGTTGGGCCTGGCTGTCGGTCACTTTGAGGCTACCATTCCCTGGACCTATGTTGTTTGCGACCCGAGTCAGAGCTGAGACACAGGAAGGTTGCCATGTGGCCTTCTCAGGGCTGGCGGAGTGACTCACCCATAGGTCATCAGAGCCCTGGAGCTGCCTGGGCCACATGACTCACTGGCCCACAGCTGTCTAACCCTTGCTCTGCTGGGGGATATCCTCGGCCCTGAGCCTCTCCCTCAGATGAGGGGGCTACCCCTTCCCAGATCACTCTGCTGAGTGATCACCCAACCCCTAGTCTCACAGCTACAGCGTCCATGAGAAGAACACAGTTATTCACACATGTGGGACTTTTTCTCTTTTTTTGTACCAGGAATTGATTTCCAGGGACTCTGCCACTGACCAAGCTGTACCCACAGCCCTTTGTATTTTTTATTATGAGATAAGGTCTCACTAAGTTACTCAGGCTAGCCTCAAATTCAAGATCCTCCTGCTTCAGCCTTCAGAGCAGCTGGGGTCAGAGACATGCAGAGCCAGGATTTGAACCAAAATGCCCCCCCTCAGGCCTTCAGGCCTGCGCCTTCTCTGGAAGGCCCTCACTCTGTCCTGGACACACTGTATAGTGAAGTCTCTCAGCTCAGAACACTTATCCAACCTCTGTGACCCTCGGGAACAACATCCCTGTAATCTTGTTTCCAAGAAAGGGCAAAATGATCCATTGAAGCTTTTGGTCTCCCCTGACCGTAAAGTCAATAAACAGCATTAAAATTTGTTTACTTTTCTGTTAAAAGAGGCATTTCTTTCCTATCCAACGTTAGTTTTGTAGAAAAACAAAACTACAAGCCAGCAAAGATTAAGGGATAAATAGCTTCTGGTGGAACAATACAGCAACCCGTGACTTCACAGGGTGGAATCCACAGCAGCCTCCAGAGCCAGGCTGGGTAGGAGGGCCAGGTGGCAGAACAGTGAGAGGGAAAGGAGCTGGGGGCCCAGCCAGGCCAGGTGTGGGAATGGAGTGGTCTGTGTGGTCCCCACCCCACCACCAAACTCCTTGGTGGCTGCAGCCACCCACGGGCTCTGAAACAGAACCCTGGTCTGGCCCCAAGTCCCTGGGGCCCAGCACACCTGCACAGGGTTCAGGAACCCAGAGGGTGGCCTCTCCCACCCACCAGGTCATGCACTGAGAAAGGAGAATCTAGGAGCCTAAGGAAGTGGTTGTCCAGTGGCTGAGAGTCCACAGTTGCTGAGTGAAAGGGACCAGTGGGGGCTTGGGGGGACAATAAGCCCAAAGAAAGAAGCTGAGAGACAGAATCACTGACAGATCAGACTGAGGGGAAAGGGCATGGAGCCGGCCTTCCCTCCCAGGAGGAACAAAGTGTCACTCAGTCTCTCTCCAGCCCTGGGAGTCTCTCCCAGCCTGAGGACAGTAGAAATAGCACTGAAGATCCAAGCCCAGGGCCACTGGAAGCCAGGGCCTGGCCGGTGACCCCTGCCCCGAGAAGTGCCAGGAGGGTCAAGGGCACATGGGCTTGGGCTGGGAGGTGTCCTGGGCAGCCAGCCAGCTGGTGCAGACAGCCCCTCGGCTGAGGGGGGTGGGGAGAGGGCAGTGAATGGGAGCCTCGAAATTCAAATGACTCAGAGTAGCTCAGTTCCCTGCCCAGCCCACATTCCGGGCCAGCCTTAAAGGGCCAGCTCCTCTGTGGTGGGGGCAGTGCCACCCCGCCCACCCTGCCCACTCTCTTCTTTTATTTTTGCCCTCTGGTCAAATTGCTCTCAAATCCAGGCTGGGGCAAATATGGATGGCACCTTGCAGATCTCCCTTGGGCTTTAATTCATCCTTTGCACCTCGCTGGCACGGGCTCAAACCAAGCTGCACCTAAACTGGCTCAGTGGGATTCAGAAAACCCTTTCTTTCCCTTTTTTAAAAAGAGATGTTACTACACGGGGACTCCTCTAGAGCAGCTTCACCCAGAGTCTCACACCTGGCTCCTTCAAATCTTCATCTTCAAATCTTCAAATCCCAGGCTACAGGTCATCCGGGACGGACACACGCACACGCGCACGTGCGCACACGCGCGCGCACACACACACACACACCACTGTACCCCTCCCCCCTCTGGCCCTGGTCCCACTCACTAATGGACTGATTGACTATTTGACTGTACTGGGTATTGAAACCAAGGGCACTTGACCAGTGAGCTACATTCTAAGCCTTCTTTTTTGTATTCTAACTATGAAACAAAGTCCTCTAAATTGCCCCCACTGACTTTAAACTTTCACTCCTCCTGCCTCACTCCTCCAAGTAGCTGAAATTACAGGCATGTCTTTTCACCACCCCTACCCTTATTTTTGAACTTTCCTTCGACATCTGGCCAGTGGGGTTCTGGTTGCCTATTCAGCTTTGTGTCCTACTCAGGGTCCTGTCCTAGGTCTTCCAGGAATCCAGCTTTCCCACAGACCTGTTCTGTCACTGGGTTCCTCGGGGTAGAAACCCCATCCTGCCGCTGGGGGCCCAAGTAACTCCACTGGACTTCACACGCCACCGTGTGGAGACTGGAAGCACGGCGTCTTGGGGAGACCGGCGTCTTGGGGAGACCGGAGCTGCAGAGATGTCACGCACTTTACACCTTATGCAGGCCTGGAAAAGCAGGCTCTGTTACAAGCAGTGCAGGGCTGGGAATGCAGTTCAGGGAAAAAAGCACTCATCTACCACGTATGAGGTCCTGAGTCCATCCCTAGCGCTGCAAAAGGCAAAATGAACAGAGACAACCACTGAGAAGCAAAGTGAAGCCAGGCCTGTGTCTCCTGCGCTCCCTGCAGGAGTCCTGGCAGAGGTGGGGGCAGCCCATTCCTGCTATGTCTGAAGCCTGTCTCCAGTGCCCAGTGTCAGTGGCTGGCAGCTCTGTGGGCTGGTGCTCCCCAGGGGTCCAGGAGAGAGGTAGTAACTGTGTCTCACTCATCCCTAGGGCGTTCACAGCCTAACTAAGCCTTGCCAGGCTGTGTTTGGTCTGAGTTGAGTGAAACGGTGCCCGGGGGCTCCATCTTTCTCCAGGGGAAAGGTGTAGGCTGCTTGATGGGCAAAGGGCACACCTGAGTACCCCATGCAGAGGCTGAGTGGGCACAAACTTTGACAGTAGCAACCCCTATGCAGGGTCCAGCCCCAGATGACTGGCAGCAGGGGGAGAGGGGGCTTCAACTTGGATCCATCCTCTAAGGATGGCTTAGAGTAACCGAGGGCCCTGGGGTGCTCGTTGTTGGCACTCTGTGACCCAGTGCCTACCTTAACTTTGAAGGCAAATTCCAGAAGGACTGGGGGTTGGCCTCTTTCATAGGTGTGAGGCCAGCCTGGTTTCCTCCACAGCTGGGCTTGCAGATTGGCACTGGGCTTCAAAATAAGGTACTTAAGATCATCTGCCAGGATACAATTGGAAAATTCAATTTGACTTTTAAAGAGGCATGGGCTGGGGAGATAGCTCAGTAGAGTAAGCGCCTGCCTCCTACCAAGTGCAGGGTCCTGAGTTCAATCTCTGGTACGACAAAAAAAAAAATTATTAATAATAATAATGCATAAGATTCTTACAGTACAACAAAGTTGGAAGATTTAGGGGCCAGGGAGATAGCTCGGTGGAATAAGTGTTTGCCTGGCAAGATGAGTTTGATCCCTGGTACCACCAAAAAAAAAAAAAAAAAGAAGAAGAAAAGGCGTAACAGGATTTACTAGGTAGAATTTAACAAATAGGCATTCAAAGAAATAGAGTACAGAGGCTAGGGAGATACCTTGGCAGTCAAAGCACCTGCCTGGCAAGCTCAAGAACCCATTGCACGCTGTGCCAGCCACTAAAACCAGGTGTTGTGGCATATGCCTGCAATCCCAGCGCTAGGCAGGCTGAGACAGGAGGATCATTAAGAGTCTGAGCTGAGTAAGGAGACCCTGTACCAGATACGTAAATAAATAATTTTAAAAATTAAAAAGGAGAGTAAGAGTCCTCAAAAGGGAAAGGTACCAGAAATTCAATTCCTGTCTATATTTATTTTTTTCTGTAATCTTTTCAAATTTTTCTATTTCAGTGGTTTTAAATACACATTAGCCCAATGAAATGAGTATAATTTAAAATGGAAGGGTTTACATGTATCATGGACGCATCGTCACAAAGCTTTCTGTACTAATGCTTGGATTACACTGTTAAAAAAGTTTGGACCTTTTTTCCGGCTGGAACCATGGAGGGCGTAGAGAAGAAGGAAAAGAAGGTTCCTGCTGTGCCTGAAACGCTTAAGAAAAAGCAAAGACGTTTAGCACAGTTGAAGATAAAGCGCCTGAGAAAGAAGTTTGCCCAGAAGACACTTCACAAGGCGAGGAGGAAGCTCATCTATGAAGAAGCCAGGCCCTCTCATAAGGAGGACAGACCGATGTACAGAGCTGAGATCCCCATCTCAGAGAAAGAAAAAGTCCTCTAGAGAGCAAACTGTCCCCTAACAAGGGCTGGCATGGGGTGGTGGTGGGGAGATCTGGAATGAGCTGGGCACAGCTGCAAATCCAGATATTTGGGGAACAGAGTCAGGAGGCTCAGGATAGCCTTGGAAACTTAGGGAGACCCCATCTCAAACAAAAGGTGGGGATCAGGCTGCGGAGGCGTTCAGTGCAGAGCACTTGGGCCCTGTGGCTGAGGCGCTGGGGCCCATCCCCACCACAGTAACAAAGCAAAACAAAACACTTCTTTCCAGTCTCTCTGCTGCTTTCCCTTCCCAGCTAAGCCAGCGCTTTCTCTCCTGCAGCCTGGGAACTCCAACCCCACGCGGAACCTGCCCATCAACCTGAACCACTATGCCACCAAGAAGAGTGTGGCCGAGAGCATGCTGGACGTGGCGCTCTTCATGTCCAACGCCATGCGGCTGAAGGCGGTACTGGAGCACGGGCCTTCCTCCCCCTACTACGC